AGAGGTCATACTGCCTCCGTCATCAGAGTATGAAGATTTCTGTCTTCTGGGTTGTTGCGCTGTGTAGTCTGGTCGATGTTTACCAACGTTTCAGAGGTCATACTGCCTCCGTCATCAGGGCGGTGAAGATTTCTGTGTTCTGGGTTGTTGCGCTGTGTAGTCTTGTAGATGTTTACCAACGTTTCGGAGGTACTTGCTGCTTCCATCATCAGGGCTACGAGTCAAGACGACGCAACAACCCGGAAGACAGACATCTTCAGACTTACCGCCGTGAAAACTTCTAATCCTATCTCGACTGTGTCTTTACGTGACAGGTGTTATTTATTAATTGTTATTTATTTGTATTAAAATCAGTTTTTCCCTCCATAACAATAAAGAGCCTATATTGTCGTCCGTTACTGATATACTCCGAGTTAATAAAACCTGACACCTATTACAACATCCATTGGCTTAATAATCACCGCGAAATATTTCATCTTTCAATGTTGAAAATGATTTTGTGTCTGGCATTCATATTTTCAGAATGAACATTACAAAGAGACGACAGAGAAGCGAATTTATGGTAGTGAATGAAATTCCGGGGGTTGCTTCCTGTGAATGTAACACGTCAGACATCTTAAGAAAGAAATGTAATGATTGTAACAAGTCAGAATACTGAAAATGGATTTACGCAAACATTTGTAGCCCGGAATTCGCGTATGGAATTTTAGAAAATATTATAATTGCGTGTAAGATCCTGCTTTCAACACTTGATAACTTCATTTTGTACTATCCAACGGCATTCCCCATTTCACGATTACTTAATCTGCTTATTGAAAACAAATGAGCTGTACTAAATAAATTCTAGACTTCCTAGATTAATAGGGACATCTTCCAAACAGAACTATCTTCAACTCACAACAGAAATTGTAAGTGAGTTTTAAGTTTGTTGATATAATTTTACACCTGAAGATGATTCGATGAAACCGAAACATGTTGTAAAAATGTTCCAAATGTAAATCGATTATTCGATGTGGAACATAAAATGATATTTTAATTATCTTATTTGTAAATTTTAAATATAATTGTGATTAGACGGACAAAACATTTTTTTAGCAGTCACCACAAAGACAGTCACTGCATTCTACTTATTTTCGACATTACAGATTAATCCAAAGTCACATGAGATCGAAAATTGGTAAACATTATGAGTACAAATGAATTTTGAGTAATACGTAAACAAGTCAGCCATTGGCGCTGGATGCATTAAGTGAAGACGATATTATAGTAAAATCTCTTGTATCTGCTTACTCATACGTTTATCAGATTTAATATAATAAAATTGCGTATAGGATTTGAGTGAAAATTTGGTATAGTTATTACTCATGTATTAGGTACTTAAAAATAAAGTAATTTACATGCAGGCCTATCAGTATTTAAAATAATAAATAAAAAAAATAATTTTACATTAACTCCAACTCAGCGGGATATCGCCAAGTTTTGCAGAAATGTAGCCTGGAAGTATAATATAATGTAATGAGAATAATCGATACGAAGTGGAGTAAATAGTCCAGAGACACGGAACAGTCAGAGCAGTGGATAGAGGCGAACGAAGGGAGAAATATATCCATGCGAAACACATGGAAGGCGGAAATATGTAATAAGAATGTATGAATATAAGCGCAAGAACATTCCCATAAATACGTTTGTTTACACATTTCTGAAGGGCCCAATGTTTTTTTTAAAAAAAACTTTTCACAAATGACGTAAAACTAGAAAATAAGACCCTAGGAACAGTTACTGAAATAAAGGAACACTAATATGTAGAGTAGCTGAATACAAATTAAAACATTTTACGTCCATTTTAACGGCTTAAACATTTTGCACAATGAATAGTTAAGAAACACAGCGACTACAAAATATCTGATAAAAACTAATCGATCTGGTGGATATTTAGAAAGATACATTTTAGAAATAATATCATTTAGAGCAGTGTTCCGTAACCTTTTTCCAACACATTTGTTAAAGACACATGACAGCACACACCAGAATTTTGCCTCACCGAAAAAGGGTTAAATTGTTGGGAACAGTTCGTCCCTACATAACCGCTTTTCCACTTGCTTGCGATTTCTTCTGAGCGTCTCCTTCCTTCTAGACTGAAATTCTTGGTCTCCCACGTTTCAGTAAAGCAGCTTGGTGTATTGTGGTAAATAGTATTCATAATTTTATTTATTTATTTATTTAGTGTTCTGTCTGATGACAGGTCCATATGAACAGGATCCTTATATCCTTTTCTCGGACTGGGACCTGTTTATATACGTTCTTGGCAGATGATCCGGAAGTGGTTTGCCATTGCCTTCTTCTTTGTGTGAATGGAGTAATTGTTGGGATGCCACGGAGGAAAACTCCGTGTTGCCTAGACCACGGCCTTGCCCAACACAAGTTATAAATTCGGGCACCGCCGGGAATCGAACCCGAGACCCCACCCCTGGATTACAAGGCCAGCGTTCGAGACTAAATATGGCCATACATGTAACTCCTTGCCCCATAAGAATGCAGACATGAAAACAAAACAGAAATTGAGTCATTACAAGAAAACCTGCATACGTATGTATTAACTTACTAACTAACTAACTAACAGATTCCTCTCGGGTTACCCGCTGTTTCAAGTGAAAGACAAGACGTTGGTGTTTTCTTAATTAAGCCACCTTACCACGGCTGGAAGACCGAGAAGAATTTATTATACTTAGTCGCCGTGAAAGCTCCGGATAATACAAAATTAATATTTCCCTTACGATTATTAGAACAAAGAAAAAATTAATAATATTGAAGTCATCATATATTTCTCGGCGGCGTGAGTTGACATTGAGGTCTTCCGGGTAACTTACTGCGTGAGTATCAAGGTTGAAGTCACTGGTACACAACCACAACAAGACTTTGAGGCTTTCAAGGCGGTGAAGATGATGATTATATTCTGGAGTTTGGTGCAGATGCCAACGTTTCGGAGAATGATACTTTCTCAATCTTTAGAGTTGAAGTGGCGATGCGGGGAACTGAACAAATTTATATTAGAGTAAGGAAATTCTGTGGAAAGCTAAAGAGAGTTTCTCCAAAAAGTTTTCCATCTACTTACGAGTCACGGCACCAGAACCCAGATACCTAAACGCATCGAGATGTTATAATATTAAAATGGGTGTAACTTATATATATATTATATAATATATTTGTCGCTGATTTTCCTTTTCTGATGTCGAATGATACGATCGGAAACAACCATTTACGGAATGCTGTGAACTGAATGTCGTTCTTTATGGTTTTAGATTACGTATACACCCCAAAAGAAGCTCGAATGCGAAAGTTCCTTCGCGAACAGAGCCGAGAAACAAAGCTCCATATGTCGAGATGTCAGTCAGCGGTTCGACCCCTGACCGCCGCACAGGTCAGCAACGCCCATCAGCATCAGTGGGGGGTCAACAGGACCCACCAGGGAATCGCGGGCAGACAAGTCCACGGTCGGCAGGGTCCCATTTCGTCAAGGGTAAGTCATCACATATCTTACGTTACATTAATCTTGGATGAAGTCACTCGCCTGACATTTGTCACTTGCACGTGGAAGACAAATGTGGAATGTCAGAGGTGAAGAAAGATTACAGCAAACTCTCGATTGTCCGGATTGGTTGGTTAGTATATTTTCCCGGATAATCGAAACCTCGGATAATCCGTAAAAAAGAAGAATAAAAATACGTAAAAGTAACAAAAATTTGTAGGCTCATTATTCTCCCATCTACGTCTAGGTCTCCCCAGAGGTCTCTTCCCCTCAGGCTTCCCAAATAGTGGACCCAACCAACCAGATGGCTTACGGAACCCGAAGGTTCATCACCGAATTAACCAAAGCCCTCCACCGGACCCTATCCTGGGCCAACAAAATCCAGTCTCCTTCAACTCCTATCTCCCACAGATCCCGCCTGAGAT